CGGTTTGGATTAGTGAAATACAATCCGGAGTGGGCCCTACAAGGGGTGTCCCTCAAATAAGCTTATTTGAGGGATCCCTCAATGGAAGCTCTCTGTATGTATATATATACATATAAATATTTATGTATTATAATATATAATATATACATTAGATATATACACGTATGATATTATTATGATCTTAATATGTACATGTGTGTGTATATATACATATATATATATATAGATGTATGTATATATATACACATATGTTTATATATGTACATTATAGTATATGTGTATGTAAGTATAATATAATATAATATAATAATAATAATAATAATAATAATAGTAGTAGTAGTAGTAGTAGTAGCAATATATGTTATTAGTATTACAATATATAATATATGCATCTTATACATTGGTGAGCATGAGACTAGTTAATTCTCCCTTTCCACATGGGTTTAGTAGTCCCCTCCTAAGGAGGTGTTTTTGGTGGGCCCGGTATTAACAATCCCATCTAAGACTAGGATTAGATGAAACAAATATGGTACTAAATTTAGTCCAAGCCAAGCTTATGTAACAAACGACCTCTTAATAAATAGCGCTACTTTGACCCATAAAAATATCATTTGGCGCAATTTACCAAATCCTATGTAAGATGCATGCGCTCCTTTAAATATTTTTTTGGGGAAATATTTTTAAATACAAAAATTAAGGGCTTTTTTGGTTTTAAGTTCAAAGCCTAAAAAGCCTGTTTGGTAGGCCCATTTTCAAAAAACCAAAACCCATAAAAAATTCAAAAACACCCCATTATTAAAAACAAAAAAAGTGTGGTTTTACAATTCTCTCTCTCTCTCTCTCTCTCTCTCTCTCTCTCTCTCTCTTGTATGGTACCCAATCGGGTTTGTCTTTGGGAACCAATACCACCAAAACCACTGAAGCATGTTCAAGCGGCGTAGGGGAGTTGGAGTTGTGCACCACCAAAATTGATAGGGTTTGTGCCTCACACCTTTTTCCTTTTTTTTTTTTATTAATTTCAATTTGGGGATTAGGTTTCTAATTTTTTGATTTTAATTTTAATTATTTTAGATTTTAAAAATAGTTTGGAGTTCAATATGAAACAAGTTTTTAGATCTTAAAATCACTATTTGAAAACTCATGTTTTAAAAAAGAATCATAGTTTTTTAGTTTACTTTTTTGAGTAGGATACCAAACATAATCTAAGTGTTTCTCTATACTTGAGAGGGAAAAGGATATCCATATTGTCAAATTGAATATTAGATTGTGCCCCGCTTAATTATTGTGTGAATGTGTCATTGAAATTTATTGTCAAATAAGTAAAACATTTGTAAAGAGTTAATGTTTTTTTTTTAAAGGACATTTCCAATTGAGAAGAACGATAATATACTAAATTTACACATATTACACGGACGCTATAACTCGAATTCAGAAACCGAAACCTTACTTAAATGAGTAAATACTCCAAACCACTACACTAATGAGTTCTTTGCCCAAAGAACTATTGGTTATATACACTCTACGTTAGGTGTTTAATATTCCCGTCTTTCAATACGGTTTGTCTCAGAAAATATATTATTACCATTCCTCATTAAGAATATTGTAGGCTTTATGTGCCTTATCCGAATCACATAAGAAAATTTGATTGGTCGGTGTTGTAGCCAAAAGTAAGAATAAAGAGAAATAATAATGTGCATTGACTTGTTCAAATCTCAATTCCCAAGGGAGACACTCGCATTAAGGGTCCCTGTCCTTCTTGCAAGGTGAAATGAGGCGAGAGGACGTGCGAAGTATAGTCTAGCTAAGGATTTCAACCAACAAGTACACATAAAATCTGAGCTTTCTGTATGATGTGCATGGTCCCTAGGTGAAGCTTGGGCATATCTTTGTGACACGTGGCATGATATCAGAAGGGCGTCCACACACCATATCTTTACGCTCGGAACTGTTTGGTTCACAAAATGGGACACACTCGAGCACTGCTTCAACTGTTGCCATTTCTGCTGAAACAGCACGGTGGGTATACTAACTGTCATTGACGCGTAGTTCCTTACCCACACACCTGAAGTCATAAATTTAACAGTAGAAGCTCTCAAAATTTCTTAGACGAAAAGTACTCTTAAAATCTAAAAGATATCACCTTCATTCATAATTTATGGTAAAAAAAACACTACAGCCAAAATACAAAACCCATAAACAATTAATCAATCAACAAACAAAAGCCTTATCCAATAAATCAAACCAATATCAATAAACTATAAATTTCATATCCAAATAATCATAAATTCAATTTCAATCAAATAGTTCACAAATCATCATCATTTGGACAATTTAGTTTAAGACTTGAAAATTTCTCAATTTGAAAAATAATGAGCGGTAGGAGCCCAGCTGTGATGGCAAGCGATGGTTGTTAGGGTTTGAAAGTTCACAAAAGGTCTTATGTTCGAATCTCTATGACATTATTTGTGTGTGTGTGTGTGAAATCCCGCTCCTTTCTAGTTTAGATTATCACTTATACTCCACACAAAAACACATTCAAACGTTCTAAACCTGCTAATCAGTCATCATCTAAACCAACCTGTAAGCAAAAGAAGAAAACACAAACCGAATCCCAATTTCGTATGTGTAAAATGACAATACATTTTTCTAAATTTTTTATATTAAAAAAACTTATTTTCCTTTTAGAAATATCATTCTTGATTCTTTCAGTACATAAAGCAGATTTTCCCAAACTGAGTTTCTTCCACATTATTTCTATCTGTACCATATCTAAGGGTGAAACTTTTACCGTGACTTAAGGGTAAAAAATTTCTCAGAGTACACAGACCCAAAAAGCAGAAGCCTCTGCGGGAAAAAATGGTGATATATAAGGTTACCGCTTATAGGTAAAAACCTAGACTTCAACGTTTATATATATACCCTTCAGTTATAGGGCATCCTCCCCCGTACATAGACTCATTGTTAGGGCATGCCTTATATAAAGTACAACTAGAAAAAGATAATGTACAGCCCGCTAGAGAAGCCTATAATAGAAATTGTTCGGAGTCTGATAACATAATTATTTATGAGTGGTGATTTCCCCACTCCTATTTCTTCTATTTTATTCACTTACACTCCTTTTTTATAACTAAAAAAGGAGTGTAAGTGGATAAAATAGGAGTGAGGAAATCATTACCCTTATTTATATGGTAACACGGGTCTAGCAAGAGTAGATTATTCTTATATTATAATTATTTTCGAGCAAAGGGTAAATAAACTTACACGAGACATAGACTAATACAGATAGCAACACTAGGAAGAAGGGGGGCGTGCAATACTTCCTCTAATTAATCATTATGTTAGGCTAAACGCAACCCCCTGGTTTATTATAATTGTAGTTATCCATTTCAAGTTCCAGCTTGGTGTCGGCTTTTTCTGGGTACTTGTTTTAGCGTCTTCTTGCAGCAGTTTCCCTTTGGGCATTGAAAAAGACAGCAGCCACAGGAAGGCCGAGGTCGTTTGCTTCTGCAAATTTTCGTGTGTTGAAGTGGTCTTTTGAAGGAGGAGGGATCACTGTCTGCCTGCCTTTCTGCTTGAACAGAAGAAACACAAACCTGTGGATCCCTATGTTTGGCCTTGGTATTTCATATTTCACCATCTCTTTTCCTGCTTTTGATTATAGCATGAAAAGAAAACAAAAAACAAACAAAAAAACCATATTAATTAGTTAATATTCATCATCATCTACTCTCTCTCTCTCTCTCTCTCTCTCTCTCTAAGAGCATGAAGGGACTTACCAAATGTGGTATCAGTTGTGCCTGGGATGTCATTCACTATCCTGTAATCAGGATGGCAGAATTAGCCATATTTTTAATTGACCAAAAAAATAAAAACACAAAGAGTACATATTTTAAGCGTAAGGAGCATTTTAAATGCATGTGTATGCAATTAAGTCTATATCTTGTCTTCTCATGTTGGTTTTTGTCAAAAATTTACAAGGAGAAATAGGAACTCTCTCTCTCTCTCTCTCTCTCTCTCTCTCTCCCCATCATGATTTAACAAAGGAAGAAAAACTATATACCAAGTCAATTATGTAAACACACAAACTTAAAACCAAAAGAATATTTAGACTCAAGGAGAGCGTCTATAGTTTTTGAATCTGCATAATTAGTGAGGTCTTATAAAATTCGTAATGCCTAATTACTAACAATAGTTCTCAAGGCTAGAATTAAGGATTTTATTTTCGTATTTTTATTTCGATGCAGATAAATGCCCTGTCATCGTGCCCTGTGAACCATATACCCTATAATTAGGGCACAGGTTATTTAATTGGAACTAGGTATATAAAAATTAGTGGCATCATTAGCTTGTCTTTTTTCCTCATTTAAATCCTATTCCTGATCATATCTCAACAGAGGATTTACCAGTGCAAATGCTCCCTTAGGTAGGGGTCACTAGGACCGGGAACATCTGGATCGGTCATAACCTGCAAAGAGGAAAAGATGAATTCAAATTAAATCCATATTTAGAGAAGAAAAAAAAACTAGGTATTAATGAAAGCAAGAAAAATATAGCTGGGAAGTAGACATATGTACCAGTGTAAAGAATGACCTCAAATCGCCTCCATGAACCTCAACCTTAGGCTTGAGGGTTAGTGAGGAAGGAAATAGCTCATGACCATTATAAACCTTCTTGTTGGAGTTGTAAGTGACTGTCATTTTTACACTTTGGGAGAAGGAATCAACAACATCTCCAATGACTCTCCCAACCACAAGAGGATCTGACATCTTTGCCATGATGAAATTAGATGTACACAACTTTTCTGTTTTTCTTGAGGAAGCAGGGTTTGTTAATTGTCTTTGGATTGGAGATACCCCATATTTATAGTGTTGTTGAGAGAAGAACCCTTGAAGAGATGGAGAATCCATGAAAGTTCAAGGGACGTGGGGAGGAAACAAAAAGTTTGAGAGAGGTAAATAAAAAGTTGAGGATAGTGTTTTCTATAATTGCTGAACTTTCAAGGCAAAGGGTATCCTGAAAAATATATATTTTTATTATTTGTTTTGTTTTTGGTTACAAGCATTTGTAGGTTTTTGAATGTGTTCATGATTTATCCGAATTGTAAACTCATTTCCTCACATCCTAGCTCCTTTCCAACTTTGGCTAGCTCCAAAATTTAACAAAAAATGTGATGGAGGATCAACTGTGCTAACGAAAGTGGAGTTGAGGAACTATAGCAGTCACCGTCGAAGTTTTTTATAGCAAGATCGATATTAAACCAAGAAAATAAAGATTGAGCAATTTGGAAAACCTCACATTCGCTGTAGAGTCTGAAGTTTAGACTTCAGTCTTTTTTGTGTACGTACCTCTGCAACGTGTTGTAATACTTTTACAACTATCACATTATCTAAGCGAGCGCACACACTAGCTAAGCAAAAATAAAAGAGATTGGGATTTGATGTGCTAGATTATTCCAATTCTATATTCTTTTCTTCTTTTTTTAAATATGTATTTCTAAATTAATTATTGATGCATATGCGTGTCTCTCTGCGTGTACATTGTGTGTGGTCCATTGTTATGTATTGCTAAATTATGATGATCATGAAGGAGTTAGAGAAACACTTGTGTGAAACATGAATAGCACTATTTTATTATTTTCGACTAATTGCGGCATGTCACACGTGATAATTTGTTTATGTGGCAGTTTGTGATTGGTTAGGGATAACAAAAAAGTGTTATCCCCGTTTCATATAAGTTTTTCTAAAGGAGGTGAAGTAAGTACGCACAAACAAAACTTAAGACATTTTGTTTACGGACAAATTACAGTTTGACAAGTTCATATGAACCTTTTTATTTCAATTCAAATTACTTATTTATATATGTGTCAGATTGTGATTTGTTGATTAAATAAAAACAAATTTTTATTTTTTATATATCTCTCTATTGTGTGTGTGTGTTGTGGGTTGGGTGGGTGGGTGTTTTGGGGGGAGGGGGAGCATTTGTGAAGGTTTCATTTTCTGTTTTTTTTTAAAATTCTTTTCTTCAACAAAAACAATGGATATTAGAAGGAATGAATTCTGCTAAAGACATTCTCAAGCTGAGAAAGTCCCCTGGCCTTTTGTACAAATGTTTAAGAAATTAAGGTAAATTTTTGAGATGGGTCTTGTTTGAACATTCCCAAACTAACAAGTTCACAAGTGAAATTACCAATTTAAGAGTTATACTTTAAGTAGAGCTGTGGGTATAAAGCAACTCCACCAGCCCCAAAAGCCATAAACGTAGGGGTAGTGGTAAGGAGTCATTTCAACAAAGTGAGATTCAGTTGGGTCATTTCTGTTATTGAACTAGTAATGGGGAGAAAGTGGGGTTGCTAAATACAGAATCCTTAACACTCATTTTTCTTTGGGATTACATTTGATAATGTTAATCACTGAGTTTGTACTATATATTTTTTTTCTAGCATCTTTCCTGATCACGATTCTGCCATTAATTTTATTTTCCACTTCTTCTAGGGCATACAAATATTTTACACTCTACATGTACAAGAGAGCTAGCTATAATGCTTAATTACTTTTGATTAGACTATTGGTAGATTGCATTTTGTCACTGAGGTAGTAGTTTATCTAAGGACCATATATTTTAAAAGAAAGTGTTACTAATGATGTCAACATCAATTTACACAAGTGGTTCATGAACTTTTGAAAAGTTCTTAAATCAATCAATGCGCTACTTCATCTTTTTCTGTACATATCAATTTGGTATTTGACATCACATTATGACAAAAAATTTGCTAAAATTAGTCACATAGTATCACATGAATTGAAACAAGTATTACCATCAAAATATAACTCGTTTTAGTTTTAAAACTCATGCTTTTGCTCAAAATGCAAGGAAATTTTTCTAAATTTTGAGTTTCATGTATGGGTTCCATCAACGAAAACAAATAGCTTTGAAAAGCAAAAACATGAAGATTTTGAGGAAATGTGACGAAAAGACCAATTCTCACCTATAATTTGTGTTATGGGTGGATATGATGTATAATTTGATGAATATAGCCCTTTAAAGTTTGACATGTGTTGTTAAGTGGCCAATTTTCACGAAGATTTTATCGAAATGTGGACCAAAAGATTAAAGATCACGTTGGTTGATTTGAAAGTCATATAACTTAAATGAGGACTTCCAAAAAATTTAAGAACCATTCGTGATAAAAACGCTAAATATATTTCCATTAAAAAATAAAAGGATTTTGCTAAAGCATGAACAGCAACAACAGATCACCACAAGAAAACATGTTTCGGCCTAGAAGTCAAGAAATTGAAAATAACTTATCATCTAGACAAGTGCAACTGGGTCACTTTTTTCTGCTGCACTACATATTCCATATCCACATTCAAAATTAATCAGAAGATGGAAAAGAGCAAGAATATGTTTAACCATTGGTACTCTAGGTGCTAATTAATCATAATTAAGGACCCTAGAAGCTATAGCTACATGATGTAGGGGTATTTCCTTGATGTGACTGCCCATACAGCATGATCTTCCTAATCCCATATGCCGGCCGGCCGGCCCCATCATATTGAACCTTGAGCTAGCATTAATATTTAACAAAAATAATTGAGGACTAACTTTCGGTACAAAACATGGAACTTAAAATTTACGAAAGTTCGAATCTGGAATAAAAAAAAATAAAAAAAAAGGCTTATTAAGAGCATCTTCAAGACCCCACAAAATATTTCCCCAATTAGATAGGTAAAGTCACGTCAAACAACGTAGTTCCAAGAAATTTCACAAACCAAGTCACCAAATTGGGAACCTCACCACTCCTTGCTCTTGCGTTTTTAAAGTGACTAAAAAATTTCTATCAGAGAAAAGCAAAAATGAATGTGATATAAAGAAACCAATTAATAAAGAAAAGAAATAAAGAGACTTGTAATTCAAAAACTACAAATAAAAAAAAAATACTGAAATTTGAAGTCAGTCGAAGTGTAAAACTCTTAAGTAACATATTAGAGCAGTTCCAACAACAATGGCTGGGGGGCGTTTAGGCCCAAAAACAGTCTCCAGTAGCAAGGGCTGGCCGGGGTAGGAGGTGGGGCCCACGAAACCAGGCCAACCTTAGGCAAGATGAGCCCGAGTTCAAGCCCGGGTTTGCTAACGTCAACAACAAATTTTTTAAAAAAAATCGAAAAAATACAAAAAATTTCAGATTTTTTAAAAATAAATACTTAGTTATAGTTTTCACTTCCCACACCAAATTCTATACAAATTTCTCTCTTCATATCTCATGTGAATAATTGTTGCCATGACAATGGGTGGAAACATCACAACCTTTTGCAAGAGCAGTCACTATTCACGTGAGAGGCAAAGGGCAAACTGGTGGAAGTGCTCTTATTGTCTTCAAAGTGTCACGTACATAAATAAACTTGTATTTAAAGAGCTACATTTAAAGAGTCTCTTGAAGATGCTCTAAGAGCATTTTTGTTTTGTCTATTTACAAACAAAAGTTGGGCACATATGTGAAAGTGTTATTATTAATATTTTTGTTGTTGAGAAATTCTGATATTACATTCAGAATTCATCCAAAAAGGCCACTAGCTACAAACGGCAAATAACTATAGCCACAAAGGACCATTACAATAATGGAGAAATCTAACATCAAAATAAAAACAATCAGGTGCGCCTCCACTAACAATCACACAAGACTAAAGAATCTCTAACAATGGCATTTCAACTAAGATTGCAAACTTAGAACTCAAAAATAGATCAAGCTTGAAAAAATCAAGCCATAACAAAACAAATAAAACTCTCACAAAAGAGAGGTGGGAAGCTCTCACAAAGTATAGGTGAAAATTACACAGATAACCCAACAAGTCTTTGTGACTTATTCCAAAAAAAATTGCAAAAAGGATGGTGGTGGAGATCCAAAAGTAGAGAGAGAGAGAGAGAGAGAGAGAGAGAGAGTCAAAGGAGGAGAGAGATCTCATTGAGATTTGGCATGAAGAAGAGATAGAGTAAGCGGAGAGGTGAGAAATCGAAGGGGTACAGAGAGAGGCAGAGATTAGAGTGAGTAGAGATCGGGAGAGATCCAAGTGAGCAAAGAGAGGGATATATCAAAGAGGAGAAGAGAGAGAGAGAGAGAGAGAGAGTGTGTGTGTGTGTGTGTGTGTGTGTGTGTGTGTGTGTGTGAAAGAGGAGAAGAAATTGCATGTTACAGAGATAACACTATTTTGCTATCCTCATCCAACACATTCCGCCGTGTGGAATCCTTATTACGCAAGACTGAACGTGATTGGTCAACGATAATGACATGCAAGTTTCTCTCGTGTGTGAGATAGATAAAAGATAAAGGAAAGATAGAAGAGGAGCAGGGGAGAGGGAGAGAGATATATATATACATATATATAAAAGGAGAGAGATAGGAACATATGAGAGAAAAGTAAACTTCAAACAAGTTCAAATACACTGAAATTCCTAGTTTTATTTGTAATTTCAAATTTCAAATTTGGTCTTATTAATTCAAAGAGGATTTTATGTAAATTAAAATTCATCCAATAAAAGTGAACCAAATCCAAATTCAAATCCCTTCCTTCAAATATCCATATCCAGACTCGCCCTATTAGATTTCGCCCCCAAACGAACCAACTTTAAGTGTGGAGGTTAACGTTGTGGGTCATCCCTTGTAAAAATTAAGAGATTTTCATAACCTACGCGGAGGTTAAAAAATTAAGAGAACTTCACATTCAAGCCCCAAAATAGTGTCTAAAATATAGTAAAACCCAACACTACCCAAACTCTA